GTTTCTGCCTCGAGATGCCCTCCCTGTTGCTGCCTCGAGATACCCTACCTGTTTCTGCCTCGAGATGCCCTCCCTGTTGCTGCCTCGAGATACCCTACCTGTTTCTGCCTCGAGATGCCCTCCCTGTTGCTGCCTCGAGATACCCTACCTGTTTCTGCCTCGAGATGCCCTCCCTGTTGCTGCCTCGAGATACCCTACCTGTTTCTGCCTCGAGATGCCCTCCCTGTTGCTGCCTCGAGATACCCTACCTGTTTCTGCCTCGAGATGCCCTCCCTGTTGCTGCCTCGAGATACCCTACCTGTTTCTGCCTCGAGATGCCCTCCCTGTTGCTGCCTCGAGATACCCTACCTGTTTCTGCCTCGAGATGCCCTCCCTGTTGCTGCCTCGAGATACCCTACCTGTTTCTGCCTCGAGATGCCCTCCCTGTTGCTGCCTCGAGATACCCTACCTGTTTCTGCCTCGAGATGCCCTCCCTGTTGCTGCCTCGAGATACCCTACCTGTTTCTGCCTCGAGATGCCCTCCCTGTTGCTGCCTCGAGATACCCTACCTGTTTCTGCCTCGAGATGCCCTCCCTGTTGCTGCCTCGAGATACCCTACCTGTTTCTGCCTCGAGATGCCCTCCCTGTTGCTGCCTCGAGATACCCTACCTGTTTCTGCCTCGAGATGCCCTCCCTGTTGCTGCCTCGAGATACCCTACCTGTTTCTGCCTCGAGATGCCCTCCCTGTTGCTGCCTCGAGATACCCTACCTGTTTCTGCCTCGAGATGCCCTCCCTGTTGCTGCCTCGAGATACCCTACCTGTTTCTGCCTCGAGATGCCCTCCCTGTTGCTGCCTCGAGATACCCTACCTGTTTCTGCCTCGAGATGCCCTCCCTGTTGCTGCCTCGAGATACCCTACCTGTTTCTGCCTCGAGATGCCCTCCCTGTTGCTGCCTCGAGATACCCTACCTGTTTCTGCCTCGAGATGCCCTCCCTGTTGCTGCCTCGAGATACCCTACCTGTTTCTGCCTCGAGATGCCCTCCCTGTTGCTGCCTCGAGATACCCTACCTGTTTCTGCCTCGAGATGCCCTCCCTGTTGCTGCCTCGAGATACCCTACCTGTTTCTGCCTCGAGATGCCCTCCCTGTTGCTGCCTCGAGATACCCTACCTGTTTCTGCCTCGAGATGCCCTCCCTGTTGCTGCCTCGAGATGCCCTACCTGTTGCTGCCTCGAGATGCCCTACCTGTTGCTGCCACGAGATGCCCTACCTGTTCCTCAGAGATGTGAAGATAGGTCACCATCACTCCAAAATGCAAAGAAAATATTATTTATAGCAAATAACGTCACATAGGTCAAAACAGCCAATGTTTCAGGGCCACGCAGGGTCCCTTCCTCAAGGCGATACAGTAACAAATGCATATGATAGTGAATATATACACACGCGTGAGCGCTGCCTGCTCCTGCCACTGGTGCATACCTGTTCTGCTTTTGCGCTAGAAAATGAATTTCCGGAAGAGGTCTACCTCTTGCATATTTTTCCCTAGATAATGTTGATGCAAGTACAGATCTTTGTTTTCCCCCGTCTCGCCATGCCGGTCTTTTTATCTTGTGCATAGCCAATGTTTGTAAGTGTCCGTTTAAAAAAAAAGAAAGAAAAGCCAGCTCAGGTCATGAGTTTACAATTCACGCTTCTCTCAGATATTGTCAGTTGTATGAGAAATCTCTGGCTCAGTATCAGTATGCTTGGAACTTCCATGAAAATCCTGGCAAGCCCGGTTGGACAGTTGCAGAGATACTCCCAGGTTTTAAAGGTTTGTTCCAAGATTTCATCCCTGGAAAATCCAGCAGTCTTGTCATTTCATATTGCTTCGTGGCATTTATACATTGACTACATCTACAAGCAGTGTTTACAATGCCAGATCACATACCCTACATAAACTGTGCTGTTATGCAGTTCGGCACATATAGCTTCCTGTTATGAGGTGGCAACTATACCGCACTGCTCATGAAGTGAGAGCAGAGTTGGCACTCTCCTATAGGCTGTACCCGCTTGCACTATAGTATGTGGGTATCAGAATTGTCATTGCTAAATCACAAGCTTGCAGCTTGCCAGTCAGCGCCTGGCCAAACCTAGTCCAGCCCACTGTTTTCTGGATTGACAGCTCTGCCGCTGAAACCCTCCCACGATGAGCTGCAGTGTCTGGGAGCATGCGAGACACAAATGAAGGAAGATTTTGCTCAGTCAGGGAAGGTAAAAGAAGATTTTTATTTAGTTTATGAAGCTTGTGTATCCAGTACCTGGATTTGGCATTTTAGACTTTCATATACAGGAGCCTTTAGTTGTACTTTAAAGCGTCACTAAACCCTCTAGTTGAAAACAACATTCCACTCCAACGTGATATCCTAAAACTCATCTCTTGGTTTTATTCAGCAAACAATGTTTAAATAGTTTTTTTCTCCCCCCCCTTGCTATGCACAGAAGCGTTGTTCCCTAATTTCTGGTTTTCCATTACGAGCAGTGCACGTATATTATGGCTCTTCCCGCACTACTACTACTACCAAGATTGATTGTCTGTCTACTCCAATTTGTATGTGAACTTATTAACATTTATGCAGAGACAACATAGCCACCCTCGGAAAGGAAGCGTGATCAGCACAGATTTATAAAGTCCTATTTCCCCGTATACTGTACTATCTGACATTGCTATTGCCAGGTATCCAGATGATCACATAAGGTTTTGGAATTATTTATACTGCCGGGCCAAAGCACAAAGTCACCACCTGGATTTAGCTAGGCAATTAGGTCAGAGGCTTTCATTGAATAATTGCTAGGTTCATCAACGTTATGTCCCCAAAAAACAAGGTCAGCTGCCTATCTGAATACAGATGCTCCTCACTTAACGACTTACCTGGTTTGCAACCACTCGCACTTACGACCATCTCTCAGACCGTATGGGAACGTGGCAGCGGCAGTGTGACGTCTCACCGTCTTCAGTGCTGTACTCAGTTCTCCGCTGCTAGTCTCGGTAAGTACTGTATAGATTTACAATACACTGTACAGTACTGTACATCTCCAACACTATGCAGTACTGTATACAGTTCCTCGCTTAACGACCGATTCGTTTAACAACCTGGTCGTAGGAAAGGAACTCGGTCGTTAAGTGAGGAATAGCTGTATACTGAATGATCAGGTTTTTCCATCAATTGATTTTTTTTCTTCCCTGATGGCACATTGGGCATATTCCAAGATGACAATGTCAGGATTCATCGGGCTCAGATTGTGAAAGAGTGGTACAGGGAGCATGAGACCTCATTTTCACACATGGATTGTCCACCACAGAGTTCAGACCTTAAAGGAGAACTATGAGGTGAGTGAAAATCACTCAGCCTCATAGTTCGAGCCGACGTGTGACAATTAAACTGTCACACGTTGGCTCAATAGATCGGGAAGTGAGCGAACACATACCTTTTGATCCCTCACTTCTCAATCATGTCCCTGTAGAGAGGAGTGACTGGCAGTCACCGCTCTACCGCAGGGATTCCCCCCCCCCCTCCCCGCTCCGATCCTCCAGCGCTGAGTGGAGGAACGGACAGGGAAGGGGGCGGGTACAGCTGGCTCTGCCTCTGTCAATCCCGCAGCTGGGTGGATCTTTACAGTAATGTCGGGATCCGTCCCGGCTGCGGCGGTCTCAGTATTACGCGAGCTGTAGCTCGCGATATACTGAGCTTTGGGTCATGGGAGGACGCTAGTTTATGTCCTCCCGTGACCCTTAGGAGAACTATGGGGAAAAACACTGACCCCATAGTTCTCCTTTAACCCCATTGAGAATCTTTGGGATGTGCTGGAGAAGACTTTACGCAGCAGTCTGACTCTTCCATCATGAAAAGCAGGAAATCACCAGCACTCAATAATGGCGATAAATATGTCCCTTTTGTTGGACAAAAGCGTCACAGGAATCCAAAAGAACCGACGTTTCGGGGCCGCGCAGGGTCCCTTTCGCAAGGCAGAAAGACGTGAGGAAGGGACCCTGCACGGCCCCGAAACGTTGGTTCTTTTGGATTCCTGTGACGCTTTTGTCCAATAAAAGGGACATATTTATCTTCATTATTGAGTGCTGGTGATTTCCTGCTTTTCCTGTGTCTGCACGACGCCATCCGTGATCAAACATCACTGCGAGCACCATTTTTGCTTATTTGGCTGGGACTGCTGTTAGGTGTGCGGAGTGCCCCTCCAACGACTGACTCTTCCATCATCACTACAAGATCTTGGTGAATTATAATAAAATGTAGTATTCATATTTTGTGTCTGGTTTAGTGATACTTTAAGGTTTCCTTTTAAAGAAGTAAAATTAATTTAAAAATACATAAATTCATAAATCTGATTCATATTAGCAATCTGCTCTCCCCAACAATTTGGTTCTTGTAATAAAAAGGAGGTAAGGGCCACTTGCAGCTAACGAACTTTCGGGAAATATGGCAACGTGGGTTGTAGATTTTTCCTGCAGCGTCACCTGCTGGTAGATGCGAGTTTGCAAATGATAGTTCTAAGGGCGTCCTGGAGCCCCATTATTTCTCTGTGGACAGATTTCTGTTTTCTGTCAGGCATATATCCCGTTGTTGTCTTACATAGCCGAGGGAGATGTGAACAACAGCATGTTACTACCCAGAAGGTTAAAAATCATCTGGCTTGGGTTTGTTTTTAGTGGATGTAATTTCAGAAGACGCTATAAAACTTTCTGTGAAGGAAAATGTTATTGTTTATTGATGTGTTAAACTGTCATCTTTGAATCATGGCCACTGTGTGGCCTCCTTCTCCCGAGCACATTGTGGCTGAGCAAGTCTATAAAGCTTTTCCTACATGCCAGGGGCCCTGCGTCGTTGAAAACGTGCCCTGCCTGAAGCAAAGTTTGAAGTGTAGAAACATTGCTTGCTGATCCTCTTTAATCAAAACTTTCATATCTTTAAAAATCTGCATATGTACAATGATTAGATAATGATAAAAATCCTTTGTTTTTTGCAGAACTCCAAGTTTGGCCATGTCAGTGGAATGGTCCAGGGTCCGCAACGCTCCTCAGGTCGGAGGTCTCTTGGAAGATCAAAAAGATTCAGTATCACACGCTCGCTTGATAACTTGGAGGTAAGATCAAGTCTGTGGGAGTTCTTACCTTCACATGATTTGTTAAGGAAATAAATGGTTTGAATTACTATTTGGAGCATGCATTGTGAATGATAACATTAGCAGAGGTGTGCAATGAAGGTTGAGTAGCAGGACCAGAAATCATACCAATGCACTCTTCTCTAGGTACTCCCAACATGCGCAGAGTACTTTTTAAAGTGACACTAAGCTCAGGAGTTAAAGCTTAAAAACACATTTCACAGGGGTGTGGCAATTTTAAAAAAACAACTACTTGTCCAAGGGCTGAAGCGGGGGCCCAATCTACGTGTCCCTCATGACAATCTACTTTTCCCAATGCAAAAAAATAGTTTTAATCAAAACTAGGGATGCACCAATACCGGTTTTTGGGTATCGATATTTTGCTTTCGGTACTCGCCGATACCGGTGCTTCCTGGGTAATCAGGAAGCCGGGCAGCGGGTAATTACATGCTGCCCGGCTTCCTGATTGCCAGGGAAGCAGGCTCCATGTTGTTGGACCTGCTTGATTGTGATTGGCCGGGAAACGGGCTTCCAAGTCAATCAGCATCGAGCCAGCTTCCCGGGCCAATCAGGAAACCAGGCGGCAAGTAATGACCTGATTGACCGGGAAGCCGGCTTGATACTGAATGACCGGGAAGCCAGCTTTCCAGCCAATCAGGATACCAGGAGCCGGGTTATTACTCGCTGGCTCAATGTTCCCCTATGGCACTGCCGGTCAGAGGAAATTTTCCTCTGATCGGAAGTTCCGGTATCGGGGAAGGTATGGGAGCATTTGGGTGAGTACAAGTACTCGCCCAAATACTCGGTATCGGTGCATCCCTAATCACAAGCCTATTTGACTATGCTAAATAGTGCCTCTCACTAGTCAGCGAGGTCACCTGCCACGCTGACCAATTCCTATCACATAGGGGCTTACAAGTAGTGAGTAATGTAGCGAGGGTCAGATTGCAGACCGCTTGTGTGTAGAGGTTTGTAAATGCATTTCCTGTCATTCTGTGCGATGGATACGCAGACATCTTTAGGTGCTGTGCAGCCTCTAGTATTGGGCAGAGAGAGTATTAGAAGTTTCCTGTTGCATTACTTAGTGTGGGGAAGGGACCCAGGTATGGGATCTGGGCATGAGAAGGGGGAAAAAAGCAAAGACCGGGAACGGAGACAAGATGCGGAAGATCGGAAACCTAGGGTGACCATTTTCACCTTACGTTGGGTGCCTGTAGATGCACCAGGTCTTTAAGATCTTAGCAATGCCCCTACTTTGCCATAACAAGATGGAAGGGAGACTCCACCATTTGCCGCTATTGCGTTTTCAGGAATTCAGAAACTGTGATTTTTGCCCCATGTGACAATATGCACAAATAAAAGACCCATTGTATACATGGGCACAGGAGATGGGGACATTCTTGTGTTATCATAAATATGTGTGTTACCTTGTGCCATGGTGCCATGCTCGGCTGGGATTATTGTCCCAGGGAATTCCCTTTTGAAAGTAACTGCTTGTACAGTATGCTGCTATCTCGTTTTCTTTGCATATCAAAATATAAGTAATGGCAAATCATCTTTTGGCTTTACGTCTCTTTTGGGTCAACGAGTATATTTATTAATGTACTGCTGTGCCCCAAAGTCCCAGTATAGTGGACTAATGCCCCTCGTATGCTGGCAGCGCAGAGCCCTACCACAGCTGTGAAGGCAGCTGCACTGCACCCGGCTACCTGATTGACAGCTGGCTCAGCCTCTCTGCAGTCAGATCCAGCTGTGCCCACCCCCTCCCCTGTCTGTCTCTCCAATGAGTGCTGGAGGGAGAATCCCTGCAGGGAGGAGATGAGTGACGGTCACTAATCTCTGCAGGAAAAAGACTGTTAGATGAGTGATTGACGCTCACACGATCGCACATGTCTTGGTATATAAAGCCGACTTGTGACAATCTACAGTGTGCCACACCGCCTCTAATTATTGGGAAGAGTATATTTTATTCTCCCTGTACTTCTCCTTTAACAGCATTCATTGTATGTAATTTGTTTCAGCTTGATTTAGTCAGTCTTTGTTTGCAGGGCTGGGCGCTGTGGTTTTGCTTGGCATGGATGCTGCATTTCCACATTTTCTCCAAAAGATGTGATCTGCCTGCTGAGGACACACCTATCACTTCCTAATCACATGCCGCACAATGGAAGCATAGTGATACTCTGACTCCCTCCAGTGTACACTGCGCTGCGGGACTCTCATACAGAGAGACAACGTTCTACCTGCAGGAAGCAGAGAGTGTCTTGCTCATAATAACCCCGCTTTTCAGTATATGTTCTGATTCCAGCTGTCATTCTTCCAGAGCAGCCCCGAACATGACACACAAAGTCTTCCTGCTTGTTAGAACCAGGAGAGAGAAAGTGTAGACTGTGGATGTATAACAGCACACTGCACGGTGGTGTCATGGCCACACAATCCTGTATAATGTAGATGGACAGATGTGTCTCCTGCACTCCTTACAGCATTCACGACCATAGATTAACAGGTGGTGCTTGCAGTGATGATCACGCATGGCGCCGTGCACAACGGACTTGTATAGTAGAGAGATCACCCGCGCTCACAAGGTTTTTCATGAATTCCTTATATTCATTTATTGTGATGCAGCATCACATATATCAATGTAGCCCTCTGATGTATGACTAGATTGATATATGTGACGCTGCATCACAAATGAATACAGGGATACTGGTGATCTCTCTACTATACAATCCTGTATAACACACTGGCGAGTGGTGACACAATCGTGTATAACGCACTGCCGAGTGGTGACACAATCGTGTGTAACGCACTGCCGAGTGGTGACACAATCGTGTGTAACGCACTGCCGAGTGGTGACACAATCGTGTGTAACGCACTGCCGAGTGGTGACACAGTCGTGTATAACGCACTGCCGAGTGGCACAATCGTGTATAACGCACCGCCGTGTGGTGACACAATCGTGTATAATGCACTGCCGAGTGATGACACTGCAAGAATACCCTGTATAAAAACACTGCACAATGGTGGTGCTAAGACACACTGATGTATGACAGCACACTGCACAATTGGAACACTGGAAGACATTCCTGTATAGTACATGCCATACAATAGATGACTCTACAATACTCTGCTTTATAACCACACAATGATGACACTGCTACACACTGCTGTAAAATAATATTTTACAATAATGCAGTTGATATTGATCACAGGGCAATGATGGTTACATAGTGACACATTGGTGCCTTCTGGCACTCCTCTATTAAACAACACACTTACAGTAATTACATAGCAACACTATGACATTGCACAATGACGACATACTGACACTGTGCCACATAGCTGTAGGACAACATACTAGGTTGTAATTGTGGCACTGCGGAACAAAGACCTCTGTCACAAATCACTGTTCATTGATGACCTAGACGTGTACAAAAACACATTAGTGACATTGTGCCACACTCCTGTATAACAACACCGTACAATGGTGTCACTCCTTGTCATGTAGGTAGATAGACGACAGGAATCATCAGCACTCAGTAATATCATTCAATATGCCAATTTATTTGGACAAATCGTTACAATAAAAAAAGCCAACGTTTCGGGGCCACACAGGGTCCCTTCATCAGGGCGAAAAGATGTGACCAATTGTCATGTGACATTTATGTGTAAGCCTGTACAGTGGTGACATGGTGACATCTATGTATAACTCACTGTAAATGGTGACATACTGACATACAGTGTACACTATACAGTGTACACTATACAGACACACACTATACAGTGGTGACATCTATGTATAACACACTATACGATGGTGACATCTATGTATAACACACTATACGATGGTGACATCTATGTATAACACACTATACGATGGTGACATCTATGTATAACACACTATACGATGGTGACATCTATGTATAACACACTATACAATGGTGACATCTATGTATAACACCCCAGGGATGTGGAATTCGTATTGCCCGAGGTCAGAGACATGCAGTGCCGGGCGGGTAGTTTTTTTTCTACATTTAGCCGTGCTGCGGGCTAGCACAGAGCTGAATGTAGATCAGGGAGCCGCCGCTCATTTAGTAGAAGTGGTCTCAGATCACTTGTATAAAATGAGCACCATCTTATTCGAACGCCGTGGTTTTCGGGGTCCCCCTCTCTTCTGGGGGACCCGGGACCACGGCAACTGAGCTCAGGATGGAGAGCGGGGAACAAAGCGAAGAACGTCTCTGCTCTGCTCTCTGTGATCAGGGAAACTGGAGCGCTGTAATCACAGCACCACCTGTCTCAGCTGTCAGAAAACTGCAAAGAAGATCTGTTCTGTGTTGGAGGGCAGGTTCCATAAAGAGAACCTGTCACCTTCAAACTATCACATAGGGGCTTGTAAGCAATACTTACCTTTTGGCAAACAGTCCTTTCCCTCCAACACTATGGGTGCATTATTGGTACCCCCGTACTGCTGTCCAGCACAGTCCTGCGCTATGCATTTTGAATGTCGCTCGCAAATTGTGAGCACTCGTTGGTCAGCGTGGTCAGGTGGACAACGCTGACCAATGAGAAGCGCTATTTAGCATGGTTAAATACGATATGGATTACATTTTTTTTATATTGGGACAAGTAGATTTATTATTATTATTATTATTATACAGGATTTATATAGCGCTAACAGTTTGCGCAGCGCTTTACAATATAAGGAAGACATTACAATCACAATACAATTTCAAGACAAGAGGGTAAGGAGGGCCCTGCCCCTGAGGGCTTTTTTTGTCATGAGGGACAAGTAGAATGGGCTTCTGTTTTACCCCTTGGGCAAGTAGATATTTTGTTTACATTTCCACACCCCTGCACACTCTATTTTGGTCACATTATTGTATTACAGTACACTCCTCAGTGGCGACACTGTGGTATTTTGCTATAGGGTTTTGTCTATAAAGATGTCTGTATTCGGAGCAATAGAATAGGAGGCTACTTGC